ACATTCAAAGCCTCGTAGAATCTACAGTTATAGCGAAAGTGTCGTTTAAATAACCATTTTATATGAGATGAATTCACCCTATTTCGTTGAAGCTGATGAATACCTTGTAGTCGAGACCCTACTTATAAACTATAAATAAATAAACACGTGTTTGCCATCCCGCTCAACGACGTTAATTATTTTTGATGTAAGTGGTTTTTGAGACTACCAGCAATTCTTGCCTAAGAACGTAGGTGAGTTAAGGATTGACGGTTGAGTGCAAAAAAGCAATTTCTCATTCATAAAATACAGCTTATTTTAATGGCATACTCATTCTGGTAGCATATAGTTTTAGTGGGTGTATCCAGTTTTACGTCATCTGGGCTGAACTGACCTCTAGAATTTGTCTGATACAGGAGTGACGAAAAGCCCGCATGGACTCGCCAGGTCTACGATAGCCTCATCGAAATAGGCGTCGAGAAGGCTGTTGATACGGCAACACCAATGATGTGGCTCCACAAATGGCTTCGGCACTTGGCATCTCAGTCAGATCAGATACACGAACAGGGGAATCCAGACAGTCCGGACAGTCGGAGGGTGAAATAATTCGCCAGAAGAGACTTTTAAAAGGAATTCCAGCGTCTGTTATGCCGGTTTCTAGGCGTGGTTTTGCCTAGCAGGCAAGGAGGGGCATTTGATGTGCATTTGCCCATTCATCGGTGCATGCAGAAACGATTGGCCAGTCTGGAAGTCTGGGACAACGCAGGACGAGCCGACCAGGCGCATAAACGACAACTTTGTTATGAAACAATGGGGGCAGTTGTGATGATTGGGATGCGCCTCGGCAACTTTATAGGTCGAGGTCCGCACGGAGGGTTGGCAGACAATCGGAAGACTTGCTTGTTTATGGCTGCGTTAGGCCATTTGCAGTTGGTAAATAGGCTTTTGCCTGCCTCTTCTGTAGTGTTAGCAGAGGAAATGTTAAGATTTCCTCTAAAAGGTGACATTTCTACAGAGCCCAGGTTACAAACATGCTTCTCCAATGCTGCAACTTTGAGAAAAACCATATGAACCAGATGGCATCAAGTCTGTGTGGGACACTTTCCCCTCAGTCTCCGACACCTCGCGCCATCGTCCTTAGTCCTGAGACTGTGGGGTAAAGGGGATTGACAGAGAGGGAGAAAAAAAGAGAGAGAGAGCGAAAGAGACGACAAGAGTGGTACAGTTGACTGTCACAGGTTTTCGCTGGACAAAGGGAAATGCATATCGGTGAACTCAACCAACTGTTACGAAGGCAGCCGGCCGTTCCGTCGCATTCCCATTGCTGCCCTCGAAGAGCGACATATCATCGGCCCGGAAATTGCGTATGAAGGGTTGGGTGGTTCTTGAGGTCTCATTTTATCGAGATCCCATTTATCTGATGAAGGCCCTGGAAGGACAAGCAAATGTAAGTCAGCCATCAAAGAGCCCAAATTCAAGCTAGCGAGTCAAGAAAACTCACCGGCAAATCCGTAAAAAAGGTATAAAGTGATTTGGTTAGTTATGGTCATATGTCAGCTTCGATGTCTGTAAGTCTGTCTGTCTCTGTATGCGTATGCGCCTGTTTTTGTTAGCTTCGAAGAAGACATATCACCTTAACTAACCAAAGCACCATACTTGATCAAAGAGGCCAGATGTAGAGTAGATATACCACTTTTCTGGATTTGCCGGTGAGTTTACTTAACTCGTTAACTTGAATTTGGTCGTAAAGATAATACCTTGCTTTGATGCTGTTCGTCACATGACGGAATCGAAGGATAATGCCTCGCAAATAGCGTCAGCATGAATCTTCCAGTAAAGCCAATCGACAGCTGGTCAAGGCGAATCTGCCGTCGTCTTCTGGTGGAACCGAACTTCGAATCTCTTTACCCAACACTTTCACTCGAAATGGAAGTAGGCTCAACAAATATGAAATAAGAGATTTCTGGAAACCCAACTTTTCTTCGCAATGTATCAAGTATCTAGAAATTAGGATGGCCATTACAAAAGAGGATGCCGAAGAGGGTAAAATGCTATTAAGTTACCGAAATGAGCTCCAACTATTTACATACAACAAAAGGAGACTGCAATGGAGGCAGAGTCCATGTAGGCTTTGTCTTCCTATAAAAAGTGACTCTTATTTCTATTCAAGATCTACAGTTCTTATCGAAGCCTACTCACTTGGCATATAGTAATATCCTTGAATTGAATGGCAGGATATCGCTATTTCCTGAATACAGATTTAATCACCCTAGGTCGTTTAAGAATATTTAAGGACCTAATATATAAATTACCTGCATTTCTCATGTATTTTATAAGTTGGGCTCTTGGTACGCTTGCATAACCTCATCAGTGAAGTCAATGTGGCCAGGTGAGTTTAGAACAGCCAACTTTGGGACCGCAGTAAATACTCAGATCTCTACAATTTTTCCCATCTAGCCTCGAGACATTTAGGAAGCTGGGACTCTCGTTGTTCTGACCGATCGCTTAAATATCCCATTTTCTGTATTACTGCCTCACCAGCAGGAAAGACAACTAGGTCTTCAGGTCTGCCACTAGTGAATACAAACAATTTATTTTTAGGATTCCATTGTACCAATGTCGAGGCTGTCGATTTCTTTTGAAAGCAAACATACGCCATTTGCCGAGTGGTGTTCTTGGCCAGCAATGGGCTGTTTGCTTGAGGGAGGAGGTAGGAACTTGGTTTTGTTGAGGAATTTCATTTCGCTTTTCCAAAAGTGTGTTTCTATCGGCGCCTGACTGAAGTTATGATAGCTCGATCTGAGTACTCCCTTCATAAATAGCAAAGCTGAGGAAGGTACGAGACCAACTTCTTCTGGAGTCCGACTTGAGTCAGTAATAGAGGATAGACTCGATTGGGTTCAGAACTGCAGCACAGGCCAAATGAAAAGGAAACTTTGGGATGGACGAAAGAGTAAAAATGTATAAGAAATGCAAACCTAACTTCCACCCTCTGCTCGTACAAAGGGTTATCATTGGTACTGCGCTGTATTGCCTGAACTAAGGATTGACTACTTTTAAAATTAAGGCCTATTACATTCATGTCAATCTTGTAGCTATCGACGCCGTCACCAGTTTCCAAAAACTGAAATAGGAATATTTTGACTTAATCACCCCACGGTAGCTGCCAAAGAGGAAAGCATCCAGTGAAATACCATGATGCTCAAAGTCATTAATATTAAATTCCAAATGACAAACGTATATCTGTTTTATGTCGTCGCGTACCACTTGCGTATAAGTTGTTTTTTGCTTTAAATTTGACC